AACCAAATTTTATTTCCGATTTCATAAGAGAAAAGTGTTTCTATAATATTACAGATAAATCGATAGCAAATTCTTGTAAAATATAAATGAAAATAAAGGAGCAATGCAGCCTAAAAAACAGTATAACTCACAAAATTGAACTTCCACGTATATTTACAGAATTTTTGACAGATTTGTTACTCTTTCTCGATTCTATTTCTTCCCAGATATTCTGAATAATTTTCCAATAATTTTAAAATAACACCAACAACAACAATGAAAAGTATGGACCTTGTTTAGCGTTTTGTATTCTTTCGAATGGCCCGATCAGTTAAAATTAAAAACAATTAATTACAATTAATATGATACAAAGGTGACGTTTCCATTTACTTTAAAACCTTTTTTCATAGATCCAATAGTGAATTCAAGCTATAGAGTTAAATAGTTTATCGCGTATAATATGTTTTCGGATTTTTCAATACGTCTATGGTTATTTTTCTATCGGGTTCGCGGGAAGAAAAATTTCTCTACGAATGGTGATTCTTACGCGCCAGCGAAATCGTTTCAACGTTGACATTTTTTGATATCCAGAGACGCTGTTAGAAGGAAGTTAAACGATCTCGGAACTCGTATAAGGATCACGACGGGACTGTAAAAATACGTCGCTGGAATTTTATGAAGAGGGAAACTTCCCAGCTCCAATTTGAACACAGAAATCTAGGATTTCCAACGTCGACTCTCAACAGGATTAACTTGTCATAGATCTACGCGAACGCCGAATCTCAGAGACATCCGGACAGATTAACCCTCTTGAGTTGAAATCTCGTTTCCTAGAAGTGCTTTTCGCGAAACAAATATGGCAGTTACGTGCCTGGCTTGCGGTCGGTTCGTTGAAATTATTATACAGTGTGTCCCGTTGCCCATTTCAGAGATGGATTCTACAACACGAAACACAGTAACAAACATCTATATAAAAATTACAGCAAAGATTATCTGTCCCTAAAAACCATTTAATTTTTGTCTCGAACATTTTGAAGACATTTGAACGAACAGAGTTCGCAACACACACTGTATATCTCCAACTCTATTTCACAATTAACTGTATTTAATTTAAGTTTGTATTATCATCAATGTATCTTGTATGTATACCAAAGGGTTTTTCCTATAAATAAATAAATTTTTTAACTGCTGAAATTTTTCAAATCGTACCGAAAAAATTATTTTCAGTTGCGGGGGTCAATTGCAATTATTTCTTGTGAAGAGACACACTCCCGAAATCCTACGCAGTTTCGAGAAAAAAATTCGTTACCGAAAACATCATGTCTGACTAATCGTTGGACGTTCTACTGAAAATTCATGTGTATGTTCAAAACGCTATAACTTCTGAACGGATCGGAGGATTTTAATGTTTCAAAAGGCAAACAAAGCGTATTTTGGCCAAGAATACGTAGAAATTCCAGGAATATTCGAATACCGGTTCCTAAACCCCGTAAAGTGAGAAAAACCCCCATAAAAGTGATTCAATTTTCGAACATCCATAACTCCTACAATAGCGAAGATATCTCATTGAAATTTATTTGTGAAATAGAGCTCATGGATACTTACAAAATAGTATTAGACAACTTTTCTATAGGGTGGCAAACAAATGTAGTAAAAATGAAAAACTAATTTTTAGGAAAAATCGACAAGGGGGTGTTGAAATTTTTCGGGGGAAAAATAAAATTTCAAATCCTCCTGTGGGTGCTGAAACAGGACGTTTGGTGAGAAAGAAACGACAGACTGGGAGAGGAATCGAGAGGTTTTGCAATTGCGTTACGTTGTCAGGATTGAATTTAAGTTCGCATGAATATGCGCGACCGCATTAAAATCCCTCATTTTTCGACCGCCATTCGTCGGAATTGGTTCAAGTCCGTTCGCCGTGCGTTGTTCAAACGGAATATGTAAATGACAGGCGTATTTTTACGGACGTCCGGACGCCGGCACCGCAAACGTGATTTCCAACGCGGCGATATTGCGGATTTATTGTTGTTAAAAGTTACATTTAATTGCATCCCGTCCCGTTGTATTTACGAATGCTCACCTCCTGTTCCCTCTGTCAGCATTTTAACATTCTCGCATTTCGACGAGGTAATCGGACGGTTTCGAAATAGTTATGAATAATCGTAATACTCGCGGAGCGACACAAATATGACGGAAATACATATAACGTATGATAATCTAGGTAAACGAATAAAATTATAATTTTGGAATTTCTAAAAATTTTAGGCGATTTAATCTTCTATGTACGGTCGATAGATTGCATAAATCGAATTATAAGTTTGTTTGTTCCGTCTACTGAATCGCATTTAATTATAATTGTATAGAAATGTTTGATACGCAGAAATTAAAAGAAACCGTGACACGAGCGAACGCGCGATAATGGAATCGTTGCCATCAGTGCCCTCGCGCTCCTTCTTTTCTGTTTGAGCGGAAAATTTGTCGACGAAATGCATGGATCGGTGTTTGCGGAGACAAGTACCGCGATTGTTGACAATATCGATGGCCTAGAGTTTGGATTAAAACGTTGATAGCGCGGAAATGGATGGAAACATCGGCAATATTTGCTTCTAAAACACTGTCCTGTTTCTTAGGGAGGCATCCTCTAAACTCCACTATCCTAACATCACGGTGTCAGAACTAATTTTCTAGAATTAGAAATAAATGGAGGTTTCATAAACATGAATTGATCGAAAGTTTAATTTTTTTTTGGTACAGACGAATGAAATGTAATTTGAATCTAAAATAAACCAAAATGAAATATATTTTAATTATAAATTAATTAAATCGCAATTAGATCTGGAGATATAAGGTTTCGAAGCGTTTGTTTACCTTTCATTGTTTACGTCGCGAGGACAATGAACTTTCACTATGGCAATAGCGAGGTCGTTGACCGTTCGTGCTCGTAGTAAATAGTAAACAGTACGTCACGACTCGATAGCTAGAGAGAGAGAGAGAGAGAGAGAGAGAGAGAGGTTCGATGTGTAAGACGAAAACAGACAATCAAATAAAATAAATTAGAAAATTTTAAGTATAGAATCTGAAAAGTGTCGAATTGGGTTTCATAAATCTAGAATTAAGAGGAGCATCCAGCCCAGGAGGCTCGAAAGAGGTCTCCTTTCAAGTTTTTTCCACGACAACAATATATGGTTTTCAGAATTTTATCGTGCGCTCCAGAAATATATAAAAACGTGTAAAATTTGTTGTTCCAGTCGAATATTCCGTGTGAACGGTAGAACTTCCTCAGCTGTAAATCTAAACAATAAAAAAGATCGCATACATTCTGAAACTGTATGAAATTTCCGCGGCAGTGAACTTTCAAAACCTAAAAAAGTTATTTTTTCACGCTTCGAAGTATAAACATATTCTTTTTACCATTTTTTTCCGGAATTTCGCGTTGTTCGAAACTTAAAGTAGCGTAGTTGATATCGCGTAGGAAAGGCATCGGTGGAACAAATTGACAGACGAATACGGTCTGTACCATAAAGAGAGAAAAGCAAATGAGAGAACAATGTTTCGTACGATGTAACACAGACGAACAAAAATAACCCTTCGATATTTAACCAGCCGGCGTTGTCAAACAGTAATCGATATCGTTTTGTGTGCGTTTAATCGACGATATAATAAATCGGGGCACGGTCAGGATATCGTGAAAAAATATGCATTGGAAAAAGAGTATTGAAATGGAAAAGTTATGCGATGTATGAGGCAGCTTCTGAGCCGCGTCCATGAATATTCTTGAGGCAAATAATTCCCGACAAACGTTTCGAGCTGTCGATTCCGAGTGCCCGTTCCAATTCAGAGCGGCGGAAAGGTCGCGTAGCCTCGTGATAGATATGATTAATTTTTGTTGCGCTACGATTCGCTATCGGGGAGCTCGATATCGATGGGCAGATTTTTCCCGACAAAGGGTGCCATCCATACCCGTAAAATGATAGATAACGTTCTACAGATCGAATTCGGATAATTTTTAAATATTATACTTTTCTATACTGTACAGTTTCAAAATTGATTTTTTCTAACAAAAATAGTACCAAATATTTATACTGGAAAAATGTATAGTTTGCTATCGTTTCGAGAAAATACAAAATACCATTGATGATAAACGATATCCGAAAACAGCATCAAGTTTAAATTATTATATTCATTGTATTTGAATAACGCCATTTAGTTAGATTTTTGCCTAAGAAACATATCGAGAATACTAAATATCTTTATCGAATTTATAAACATTAAGAAATTAAAATTGATTGATAAGAGAAACTTACAAAAAGAAAGGTATATATTTGCTTAATGTTATTTCCTAACCTCGAGAACAGTAAGAATAAGTTAGAAAAAGCGTCGAGTAGAAAATAAAGAGAAACGAAAATAAAATGGAATAAAGTAAAGTGCGCTGCGGGCAAACGAAATGAAAATAAAAATAGATACATGCTAATACTATCATGAACCTAACCACGAGAATGCTAAGAATAAGTTGCTGGAGAGTATAAAATAGAAAATATGAAAGGAAATGATAAACGGCGAAATGAGATTGGATAAAATGGAGTACGCTCGAGGCGAGAGAGATAGAAATAAAATGAAGTCCGGAGACAAAGTTACAAAATTATATGGCTCGCGACTTTTCCTCTATGTATAAACTCCGTATTATTCTGTTTGTTTTCTCACCCTCGTTTCTCCGCTCGCTTGTGTATTTTTTTTTCGTATCGAAAGATTCGTCGCGCGACGACCAAATCGAATGAAAATTAAATCGAATTACGCGCGCCCGCCCGCCGTGTTCCCGGTATTACAAATAAAATTGTATACGGCGCGTCTAATTGAGCTCGCGACCCGGTATATAGCGTTTAAAGGCTGCGAGATACTTCCCCGGCGACGGATATTTCGAAGAAACGCGCCGGACCGTCGCCCGCGCAGAGATCCATTTTTCTTCCGGCCGGGGTTTTCTATTTTTAAAGAGTATAAATTGGATTTGCGCGGCACCGTCGCGAATGATATTAAAACGTCGAGACGGAGGGGGAGGGTTTCAAGATGTAATTTCTCGGCAAGCGTCAATGACTGCGAGAATTGTCACGCGCCAGCATGGAGCTACGGTTTTATGAAGAGAAAAAATTTACCTCCCGAGTTCGACACACGCGACGCGTATTTTTTCAGTTTGTTCGCTTGTAATGGGCGCTTTTCAACTCGCGAGTCAACAGTCACCGTGTCGCGTTGTAAGTCGAGGATTTTACGCAAGGGATTAAGAAAACGCGCGCAACAATATATTCGAAATGGATTTGTCTTGTTAGGAACAAAAATAAATACGTCGCGATACGAAATGCAAAATTTACTGAGAAAGGAAAGAAAAAATTCATTTAATAGTAATATACGAGATGAAACGTAGAAAACCATGTATTTTCAATTTTTAATTCTTACTACCTTCGTCTTTCGATTTCAATGTTAAATGTAATAATAAAAATATTCAGACAATAAGGTAAAGTGTATTGGTATTATTTTTGAATGAACAGAAAATTGATAATACTATACCACAGTCGATGTTTAGAAATACTAAGTAGAAACATCGAGTAATAGTCGGACACATTTGATCGTTCATACTGATTACTATACGACTAATATAAATGAATCGAAAATATAGAATTAACTTTTTCCATATGTATGCTTTTTCTTTTAAAACAATTAATGTTCAATAAACATATTCTCCATCTCTAAAATCAACAATTATAAATAAAAAGCTCTTTAAAATGTATAGTTTGCCGTTTCGATCCTAGTTTTTTTAATTATTTTAATTCTGCTGATTTTAAAAAATTCGTACTCTATAGATACATTAATTAATATATTTGTGAAGATATTGTGTTTCTTAATTAAAGCAGCGTAAGGATACTAACACGGAAAAAGAAAGATATTTCGCTTCAGAATTTGCAAACTTTATAATAAAAATGAAGGTCGAATTAATTACTTTAATAAGGATAAATTGATAATAATATGTAATCTTATACCTTGCCTTTGTATCTAACGTATATACCTATGGTTATAATTTCTCCCTTTCGTTTGATTTTAATTTTTTAATATTTAGTGCAACAACGACGTATCGTTCTTATTAAACCCTTATGAATGTTAAAATTCAACGCGTAACCATCGTGCATAATTTTCGTTATCGTTGAAAATAATATAATCGCAAGTGATTTCATTGGTCGCTGGAATTTTTTGGACGAACAGTCCTTTTATAAATATTTCTCCAATTTCAGGTGCGACGGTGAGCCGATCGCGAGTTCCAAATACTGAAAAATTGTCGTATTGTTCGATGGTCGTGGATCGTTCGGCGATAAAAAATAATACAAATCAACAGGTTTCGAAAAATTTGACGCGTAGAAAAATCCTTTGGTAGGGAAATCTGTACGAGTGACGAACATTATTCTGGAGTGATCTCCACTTTCCAGGAAATAAATTTAACGAACGCGCCACGAACAGTTTCACGGTTAGCGAACGATGGAATAGAACTTTCTTTTTAAGCATTAATAGAAACATTCAGGAGTGATCAACGTTATTATATCTACTAAATTCTTATCCACGTTATACACATGATTTCTAAATCCAAAAACGTGTATGTATATACCAACAATCCCAGTTTCCCATTTTACTATTTCTTCATTCGTGCAATTCAGCTATGACTTTGTTCGAATTGAGGATAAAAAGAAAGTTTTTGTCCACGAACAAAATGCAATTATTATTAGTTAAAATATTATTAGTTCTTAACCATTTCTTTTATACTTCGTAACTTCCAGTAGAAATTTCTGTTTTGCTAAATAAACTTTCGATAAAGGTGTATAAAACTTGCAAAGTTGATCGAAATTTTGTAAAACTCTGCGTGCAATAGTGTCGTAATATGAGTTAATATCTCACGTAATTTTAAATGGTTTTGTCCAGAGAAGAGGGAATTTTAACAAAAAATGTGACCGTACAAAACGTGTGTCGCACTTGATGTAAATTATCGCGTAGCACTGCCATTAATTTTAACGCGGCCATTGTTGGTTATATAATAATGGCGCGGAAGCTATATTCGTCGGAAATGCAGTACATATTTAGTGTTACATGCTCCAGGGTGGTGGCTTGCCATCGCCACCGTGCAGATTGTTTTTCAGCGCCGCCGAGCAATTTATCTTCGCCACGAAGGTCTAACCTCATTGCAACCATTAAGGGCTTTGATTCATGAATAAAATTGAACCTGTTCTGAATCGCGGTTAGTAAATTAATTGAAAGACTCGTAGCCGGGTAAATGTCATTGGATATTTACGCCATTGATACGGCTCCATCTTGTTTTTATAACGCAAAATAACATTTCGATACGTTTCGATTCCACGAGCAGAATAATGAAGTCCTTGTCAAAGGGGAAAAATCTAAAATAAAATTTTTCAGGACAATTTACTCAATACATTTACCATTAAGAACCAGTCAATTAAAAAATAAAATATTTTAACACGAGACTAGTACAAAATAACGCAGGTAATAATTAAGAATCAAGAAGCAGAAACAAAGTAACGATTGCAAATAAAAATTTCTAGGAGCACTTTCAAAAAAAAAAAAAAAAAAAAATAATAATAGAAGAGTAATATTTATCACTGAACATGTAGATAAGAAGAGTGAAATTTTAAATCGTTATCTTTGCACGCAAAATTCGTCGATTGTACCATTTCATATAATGACAGAAATTGTCAAATTGTCGAAATTTATTCCAACTGCTAAATTTCAAATTAGACCCATTGCGTGGGCGTCCAGAGTCTGCCTTAGTGGAACATTCAGAAAAAGGAAACGATTACTTTTTTTTGCAGATGGCGGCGATGCTGAACGCGACGTCATTTCCGAGTATGAGGGGAAGCGACGACGACGACGAGGATAGTTACGTTCCGTATGACCAGCGACCGGAAACCTACATCGTACCTGTAGTATTTATATTAATTCTGGTGGTGGGAGTAACTGGAAACGGAATTCTCGTGCTCACCCTGCTGCGTCACGCCAACATGAGAAATATCCCGAACACTTACGTCCTCTCTTTGGCTTTGGGGGACCTTCTGGTAAGGAACAAATGACCCTCCGTCTCTGAAACAAAAGCGAGACACTATATTAGCACAGCTTTTACATTTCAAACACTTTTATTGCTTTTATCGATTCAAATTGTACTATAAAACGCGTAATTTTTAGTCCTTTCTGCGGCAATGTGTACAAATCTTTTCAAATCAAAATAATACAAACTCTAGAATCTAGTCAAACAAAAAAAATGAAAATAGATTCTTCATTGGGGTGACAATAGCAGGTACTAAAATACAAATAAACAAAGTCAATGATTACAAAAATTTTAACACTTTTGGTGTTCAAACATCGAATTTTGAATGTTCATCAGTTTCTAAAATTGTAGAACTTCGTCCAATTGCTCTAAAACTCCGAATTTTCTCACCAATTGTTACAATTTTGCGGGCGTGCAGAAAGTCAAAAATTAATAAACTGTCGGAATAAAGACGTTAAAAGTAATCTCTTAACTTCCTTATAAATATTATTACACCGGCGAAAATTTTGCGTTATATGACGTTAAAGAGTCTAAAGGATTTGTTTGCAAAGCTCCCCTGTATCTATAACAGTTTTCCAGATTAAACGCACGAAACTTTTAAGATTAATTTCGCTCGTTAAATTTGAGTTGCTCTGCGAACTTGCAAATTTTCAGCAAAATTATCGTCGGTAGCGTCGTGGATGTTCGTTGTTAGTCTTTTATAAATGACTCGCGTTGGCGATCGACGCGTGGAACCAGCCTTTGAGCGCAGAACCGCTCCGTAATTTCGTGATTACGAGGGAATAAAAGTGGCAGGCAGGTCCGTTGCAAGAAACTTCCCTTCGTCGCGGATTTACCGATCGGAAAATTTGAACGCGTGGCATTTGTCGACGGTGCAATTTGTACGACTGCGGAATGACGGAAATAAATCTGTGGCAAACGATGCCCCGAGAGTGCAAATTTTACTAAACCTGGCGAACGTATGCTCGGACAAACTGGAGATATTTGACCCGAGCATCAATAGAGTTTCAGTGTTGCGGCGGAAACCAGTATTGAATTAAATTGTTAATTGACACGGCGTGTGTTCGATTCGATCGCGTGTTTGGTACACGGCGTTAGCCAGGTCGACGCGTAATTTATATTCGAGCGAAAAATATGGGCCAATGAATGGGGAATGTGTACAATATTGGGTCGGGTTCACTATCACCTGGTGAAGGAAAGGTTTTTGATTAAACCCAGACGTGCTTGACTATTATTATTATTTCAATAGATGGAAATCTATTGTCAATTCAATATTTTCATACAGAGATCAGTATTTTAATCGAATTTTGTATATTTTTACAAAAACTGTGTGTCGATTTGTGGGTAGAAATAATTCTTAATTGTGATTTGTTGTTATGTGTTGTTTGACTTTATTTTTCGTAAAACCAATTTTTATACAGAAATTGTAATTCAATCTAATTATGTATATTTTTAAAAATCTGTGAATAGATTTGTATATGAAAATAATTAGTGATTTATTGTTAGGTGTTGTTTCACTATATTTTTCGTTGATTCAATCAGACATATAAAACCAATTTTCATACGGAAACTGTAGTATTTTAATATAATTGTATACATTAGAAATCAGTAAAATAAACTTTAAAGAAAAATTGACAGAAAGCAGACGTCTAAATTTTTCGACGAAAAAAAAATTTCAAATCGTTCTGAAAAAATGATTTACAGTTGCGGGGGTCAATTACAATTATTTCTTGTGAATACACATACACCCGAAATCCTACACACTTTGGAGAAAAAAATTCGAGTAGATACTGAAATTTTTAGACGAAATTAAAAAATTGCAAATCATACTAAAAAAATTATATTTAGGAGCAGGGGTCGATTACAAGCATTTTTGGTGAATAGACATACCCCCGAAATCCTACGTCCATTGGAGAAAACAATTCCTTACCGTAAATATGTCTGACCATACATTGATATGTTTCACTGAAATTTCATGCGTATGTTTAAAACATCATAACTTCTGATTTTAGTGTTTCAAAATGCAAACAACGCGTATTTCGGCGAAGACTGTTTATAAATTCAGATAAGGTTTGCTTTAATACCTAGTCCGTGCTAGTAATGTGTCCAATTTTATTTTACCATTTACTAAACAGTGTATTTACCAATACGGTTAATTTTTAATTGATCGCGGTACGGTTCGGACCCCATGAAGTGTTAAATCGATCAAGTTTACGGTGTCTTTTTCGCCGGCCACAATTTCGAAATGGCTTCAAAGTCGGTTGCAATAAAACCGAAACGCCCCGCGGTGCAATGTAAATGCAAAGCATTTGCTGTGGCGCGACGTCGTGGATATTTTCTGACGTTTTCCCCGCGTTTCAGGTAATCGTGACGTGTGTGCCGTTCACGTCGATCCTCTACACGATCGAGTCGTGGCCGTGGGGCCTGGCAGTTTGCAAATTATCGGAGTGCGCCAAGGATATTTCGATCGGTGTCTCAGTTTTCACTCTGACCGCGTTATCGGCCGAGAGGTAAGTTGTCAAATTCAATTACGACCGAGTAAATTGTTGCTTTAGCGGCGGAGAGTAGCCCCCCGTAACTTCGTCGAAGTTCGGCCCCATTAATAGAGCAATCTGCTGGTTCTTCGACCATCCAATCAGTAATCCGAACAAAACGAATGAAACCAGCGGGCGTTAATTTTCTGAAAACTTGAATTTTTTACGTGCCCGCGTCACGATGGCTGATATTCAGAAATTTATGAGCATTCGTGTAAATAAAGTGGTAAATAGACTGCGAATATTTATGTATTTATGGGAAATTTTAATTCTCAGAAAATTACAGTATGTATTTAATAAGCAAAAAGTAAAATACGAATTATTACACAAAGCTCCCATTTCATTAATTCTATTAATGAGAATATGAATTTGCATAAAGATCCGCAGCCTAGTGTTGAATGAATGTAACGAAATTGGTTCTGAACAATATAAAAAAAGGATAAGAACCTTGTTATTTTTAAAATGGTAAATCATTTCCGTAAATCTGTTACTTGTTATCTAATATTTTCCACTAACGTTAAGTTAAAAAGAATCAAAACTTAAAATGTTGAGATTCGACTGTTCCCCTTCAATTCAAAGTGCCAAACGAAGAATGTGAATTCCTTCCATAGTATCAAGATTTGTTTAAAAATTTCTTAACGCGAAAAGGAGATCGGTTTTGTTTATTGTATCGCAGGTACTTCGCTATCGTGAACCCCATTCGTCGACACATCGCCGGATTGGGCGCGAAACCGTTAACGATACTAACAGCATCCCTCATTTGGGTGCTGGCCATTATTCTAGCGATACCAGCAGCTCTTTTCTCTCACGTTCCCACCGTGGCATTACGGGACAACCACAGCATCGTGATTTGCAGTCCTTTTCCTAAAGAATTCGGTGAGTGGCTCTCAAACTTTTCCTACAGACTGATTTATAGCGTTCGTCCGCCCCTGGGAAAAATTTTAATTGAAGATTCTAGAGGTGAAAATAAAACGAAAATCAAGAACATCAATTTCTTGATTGAGGCTTCGTTATAAAAGTATTAAAAAATTTCAAATCATTCTGAAAAAATTATTTTTGGTTGCGAGGCTCAATTACAATCAGTTTTGGTGAATACACATACCCCTAAATTCCTACCCACTTTCGAGAAAAAAATTCGAGTAGATACTGAAATTTTTAGACGAAATTAAAAAATTGCAAATCATACTAAAGAAATTATATTTAGGAGCAGGGGTCGATTACAAGCATTTTTGGCGAATAGACATACCCCTGAATTCTTACCCACTTCCGAGAAAAAAATTCGAGTAGATACTGAAATATTTAGACGAAATTAAAAAATTGCAAATCATACTAAAAAAATTATATTTAGGAGCAGGGGTCGATTACAAGCATTTTTGGTGAATAGACATACCCCCGAAATCCTACGTCCTTTGGAGAAAAAAATTCCTTACTAAATATGTCTGACCATACATTGATATGTTTCACTGAAATTTCATGGGTATGTTTAAAACATCATAACTTCTGAACGGATTGGACGATTTTAATGTTTCAAAAAGCAATCAACGCGTATTTTAGTGAAGAATATGTAGAAATGGTAAAAATATTGGAAAAGTTGCTGCTTGACCCCGCAAAATGAGAAAAACCCCATAAAAGTGGTCCAATTTTCAAACGACCATAACTCCTACAATAGTGAATATATTTAAATGAAACTTTTTTCTGAAGTAGAGCTCATGGGTACCTACAAAAAAGTATTAGACAACTTGTCCGTGCAGCGTCAAACAAGTTTATTAAAAATGAAAAACGAATTTTTAAGAAAAATCGACCAAGGGTGGCTACTGAAATTTTTCGGCGAAAAAAAAAATTTCAAATAATTCTGAAAAAATTATTTTCGGTTGCCTGGGTCAATTGCAATCATTTTTGGTGAATACACATACCTCCGAAATCGTCCTGGTAACATGTATGTCAACGTGTTAATACCAATTAAACAAGACATCAATTTCTAGTCAAAATATTTTAGCTATAATCCAAAGGTGCCTTTTCAGAATATTTTATATTAAACACAATGACTAAAAAATACTGTACGCCAAGTATGAACTAAAGAAAAATGGCACTAGACATTATAGTAGACTAGAAAGCCATAAAAAACATCCCTTTGCCACTTCTACTGAAACCACAGAACGGAAAATGACTGAAGAAAGTTTCACCAGCAGATCAGACACACAAATAAATTCGCAGACTGTATTCTTCTGATTTCTAATAAACGTGTAATAGAAGAAGGAAAGATTTCTATATTTGTTGAAACGTCCTTTTAACTTAAATTGCGTGTCATACGCACGGGAGTTTGATATGTCATGGATCTTCTGTTTCTTTTTCTACGTTCACAGGCGAGAGCTATCAAAGGGGGATGGTGCTATTCAAGTTTCTAGCGTACTATGCGATACCGCTCTGCGTGATAGCTGGATTCTATCTAGGAATGGCACGACATCTTGAACTTTCCACGAGAAACATGCCTGGAGAGTTGTCCACCGGGGGTCATCGTATGGAACAGATCCAAGCACGGAAAAAAGTAAGTGAAATTAATCTAATACCATTTAATAGCAACCATTTATAATTAGTACGTAATAAAATTCCGATTTAAATAGATTTTGCTATTAAAATCTATTTGTAGAACAGAGAACAATTTTCTAACTTTCTATTAAAGGGTTACACTATTATGTGACTAGCTGATAAACAAGATTTTGGACATTTTGTTACAAGATAGATATATAATTTAATTAAATATCATCTATTACTTAAATATACATGCATACAGTGGGCGAGAAAATAAAATGAAAAGAATGTCGAATCCAACTAAGAAACTAAGAAAGTAAGAAACTAAGAAACTAAGAAACTAAGAAACTAAGAAACTAAGAGACTAAGAAACTAAGAAACTAAGAAACTAAGAAACTAACAAACCTACAAACTAACAAACCAACAAACTAGGAAACTAAGAGTCTAAGAAACTAAGAAACTAAGAAACTAAGAAACTAAGAAACTAAGAAACTAAGAAACTAAGAAACTAAGAAACTAAGAAACTAGCAAACTAACAAACGATGCTTTTTTCCAATTGTTCCAATTTTAATATGGCCCACTGTCTATGCAACGAATGTTAAAATGTTTCATCATCGACGAATAAACATGGCCATTTTCGAAGATTATCCTTTGCCCAGCGATTTGTTTCGTCGTTTCTATCGAGTGTGTTACAGTTCAGAGATTGGAATTGCTCTCACGATCGATGCAGACTATTACTAGCGCAGTTACGTAATCTCCGGACGATCGGTAACAGTTTGACCAATGATATTAAACCGACACTTGTTCAGAGAGTCGAGGAAGATCCCCAGTATCACGCTGCGGTGGGAACACGGACTAATTTCGAGAAACGCTAATCATAAATTACTATATCACGCGGAAAGCAATATTGCCTTCGAGAACCCGTAGCGATTTCCGGTATTGTCTTCGACTGAAAAGCGGCATCCAATCGCTTCGTATTACGGCGACACCCCGCGGCGCCATAAGTTTCGAGACGAGGAACGAATTCTTCGACGGGAACTTTCGCGTAATTCGGATCACCGATTTCGTTCACATTTTCTGTGATAATAACACGGATTTTACTATGCAATATTCTTAAAGAAAATTATGTTTCGTTTTTATATTTTTCTACATAGACTCGACTGTAGTAGAGCAAAAACAATCGGGTTAGAAGTTGCCTCGGTGGTGAGTGTAATAAGTTTCTCGACTGCTAATAATTTCAAGGTCGTGAGTTCGATTCTCCTGGGGTGCAATTGGCGTTTTTACTATATAAAATTGTATCAAAGAACCTCCTAAGTAGTGATGAATAAAATAATTATATATTATTATTAAATAATTGCTTATTTGTACTTTCGTCTGTTAAGTAAAACAATATAGTTATCTATGAGAATGCATGGTTGGTGAGGATTACCAAATTAGACAGTGAGGGTTTTTAAAGTGATCTATTAAAGTGATCTATTACTAGATAAATAATATCCTTGATTAGAAGTGTATAATGTTGAAAGCTACTAATTTGTTTGTTCCGGTATTGAGGTTAAAATAGTGTAATACTATACTATAACTCCGATTTCACTAAATAGAACCAATTCCAAAAGGATAGAAATCTACTTTAGTTTCAAAAAATGAGTAGGATGCAGAATAATTAAAAGAAGACTGTAACGCCTAAGTTGCGTTATGGAGTCCCTGAGCGTTTGTTTCTATAACAGCTGGTCAGAAACAACTTCTTATTACTTGGAAAATAACTGAAAGGGTTTTCTAGGACGTTTGCCAGATTCGAGCTTTGGAACTTTATATTAAAAATGTCTAATCTTGTCTATTTTTTTTCTGTCCCTGTAACTTTCTTCTTTTCCCTCCATTCCACGATTTTTCCATTTCCGCGCCACCCATTTCAACCCCCCTCAATCTTTCTATCCTACTTATATCCACACTAAGTGTTCCTTTCTCTAAAAAATGTAACCTTGTACGAAGAGATTGTAATATTGCAAATTTTTTATTCAGTTCTGGACGAATAATCGACCGCTTTTCGGTTGTATCACTATTTTCGCCGCATCCTGTTTCTACGTGTTCGAAATCGGGATTCCTAAAAGGAACGTAAGAACCATCGAGGAAAGTTTCATCGTATCACCGTTGTCACGCTCTGATGCCGTTTTACGTTGGGTAATTCGGAAGCAAACCGAACATCGGGGTTGCTCGAAGAGCTGTTTTCACGATGCACAATAGTGTCACGGATAACACCGGATATCAAGGCCGCTGCATTTTTGTTTTGCAAAATTTTGAAATGTTTGAAAACCATCGATTCCCTGACATTTAGGAAATTACACCAGACAGGAAGAATCTTCTTGCATTTACCAAAAATATACTATTTCTACTGGTTAAAATGTTTAGAAACTTAGCGTTGTAAATCGGTAATTAATTCGCTTCTATATTGTATATAATTCTTTTTAATTGCTGTTTAGATCAATGCCATTTCGTTTGCTCGTGCCTTTTGTCGCAGTTAAGATGGTAATTATAATTTCATGATAGAAACAGGCTATTCTGTCGCGCGAAAGTAACTCTGAGAGAAACTCTCGGTACGTCGTTGATAATAATTGTTGACCCACTTTAAATCGGCCAGATTAAAATTGAAGCGATCTTTCTTGCTTAACAGACAACAATATATGTATAGCTGCTTCCTAATTAACCGAACCATTACTGAATCGAGCTTTATTCCTACAACTTTTCCAAAAAAATACACAAATTCTCTACGACCATTCTCGACGTTTTTAACAACCGACAAGCTTTCGATCGGATTTAACACTCGAAATTCTACTTGCCTTCGCGAAATCTCTCTCTTCCCGCAATACATACACCCAAACGTCTACACGATCCTTTTCCATGTCGTTCATCGAACACATCTCATTCGCGTCTAGAATCACTCGATCCATTTTCCCGAAACGTTCACTCTTGTATTGACTCTAAGTTTCCTCGACACTCTACTATCGACAGGTAGATACATTGGTCTGGAGACAATATCTCTGACGAACACAAAGTTTAGCGATATTTTCAAGGAAGTAGCTTGTAATTTCAAATGAATATCGACTGTTTGTTTACACTTTTCAAATGTAAACAAAATACAATATAAGTATTTTGTAAATATAATACTAGCTGAACTATACGATATCATCATTAACCTGTATTAAAAATAATCAAATTATTTCGATATACATACTGTACTACTCATAAGTTTTCAGAAGTTTGAAAAAGTACAGATTCAGTGATAGCAACTAGGACTTATTGCTTACTATTTATTATAATAAATTTGGAAAATAAAACTAAGAGGTTTAATGTTGGAAAAGCAATTCCATTACTTCACAGATTAGTTTAGAGATGACAGAGTCCATTTTGAATTTATTTTGAAGCATAAATTGAATAAAAAAATGTGAATATTATAAATAGATCTATTTTTTGAGATTTTTTTAGCTTACCAGAGTAAAATCATTGACTGTGTTTCTTAGGTAGGGAAGATGGTGATCTCCTTCGTGTACATCTTCGTCATCTGCTTCCTACCGTACCACGTCTTCATGCTGTGGTTCCACTTTTGCCCAACATCCAGGGATGATTTCGATGACTTCTGGCACGCCTTTAGGATTCTTGGCTTCTGCCTGAGCTTCGTCAACAGCTGCGTAAATCCCATAGCTCTGTACTTCGTTAGCGGAACCTTCCGCAAGAGGCAAGTGTCGCGATACTGTCCTTTTTCTAACACATTACCGGACCAAACCTGTAAAATTTTTTATAAGATCGAAACTTTGATTTCAGACAATTGTAAAGCACATGAATTAAAATTTGTCGCGGTATTTATGTATTCTTCTAACCATACTAAAAGTTCAGATTCATTTCTGTTGGTCTGTCTCTTCCAAAAGAGAAAGTTTTCTATCCTCGACAAAAACCATCGACGCGTGTGTTGCCTTTTGCGTTTTAAAATAGAAGTCAAGAGAGTACAACTGTATGCTTGTTTAGACAAAGTATAGAACCGATTAGGTCTGAGACCCTTCACATTCCAATAATTTCCTTTAGTTACCCATATATTCGATTTAAAAATTCTTGACGATAACCATCAGTTTAGTTATTAATTAAAACGTAAAAGAACCCGTTTCGTCGCAGATTCAACGAATATCTCTGCTGTCATCTGACAAGGAGAAGCTTGAGCGTCTGTCGAACGGAAACCACGGGCAGCTTGGAGAGAAACGGAAATCGTCTGACGCAAAAGAGACGCGCAGGCGGCCACGGAGGCCATAACGAAACCAGTTTCGGCTCCACGTTCCGAAGGCACACTCAGGAATTAAATTCGACCGCGGTTTTCGAGCTGGGAAGCGAAGAGACTACAAGACCTACCTGTGATTTAGGTTGCAAGTAATTTAAAACAAAATGATCGACGGGAGAAGCATCGGTTTATCGGTGCCTGTGTATACGCAGTCGAGAATCGAGGACCACTCGTAGTGAGAAGAACGATAGGTGAATGTTTAAATTATATTAAACAATGCTGGTTAAAAGTTTCGAGCATCTTTCGATCTTTGATACAAATAAATCTTTTTTTGCGTATATTTAGTCCTAGATTTCTTTAAGGATTTAAAGATACAAAAAGTTATTGTCGTGACAAGAACTAATTTCGAAATCAGAGTTTTTAAAATTAACCTATTCATTATTTAACATTGTTAAGGAATTATGGATTGAAAAATGTCTTACATAATAGAATATCTTCCAACTCAGAAGTCTATGTTACGTTGCATGAAGTTTGTGCGATTAGAAAATTCTCCAAAAAATGTTACATTATTCAAGGGGTAAACCATACTCTTCACATATTCAAAAACTGAAATAATCCAGTTTTTATATAGTTTATTAAAACAGAGGTTAATACGAAGCAGCGTTTAAATAAAGATCGAAAAGTGTTTGCAACTTTTAAACGGCATTATATCATACATTTATATGCGTAAGTATAATACATCAGGCGCGTGTATAAATTGCGAAAATTTGGGTCCAGTGACGGTTTTAAATTCGACTTGTACGTTTTTGCAATTTACACGTTGACAAACACGTGATTTTATATTTAATCGATCGACGGAAGGATGTTCCTCTGTACAGCTTCGATGTTGCGATTCAGCTAACTAACTTTAACGGAGTAACGATTTTTCGTATAATGATTTGTACAACTATCGCTGATTTAACCGTTCGAATAATGATTGTACAGTATGCGAGTGTTATTGTACAATATGGCGCATGGCGTAGCCGCTTTTGGATGGTAGTGCACAATAAAAATACGAGTGACCAGGGCTGAAAGTAACAAAAGCTTTAACAGTGCTTGTAATCTATTTCATTCCCACATTATTACAAATTACTTTCTTTTTCTCTTCGACGAGGCAACGTACTTTTAATTTTTCCATTATATGTATAGAAAGTTGTGTGTTTGAAGTTTATTCGTAAGATATCCTCTTTTATGCCGCATATTTTTTCTTAAACCATTGAATTCTAAGAACCTGCACAAAAATATTCTTTAGTACTTTAATAGTATTAGTAAATTAGTAATTTGTAAACACTTAAATTGAAGGGATTAGGAATTTGTTCACATGGCTACAGTGGGAATAAAGAGATTAACAGATAACACTGAGAAAGATGAAATTGATGGATAATACCATACATCATAAGGTGGTTAATTTCACCATGAAAAATTATCCTGGTTTACTCGAAAAAAAAATGAATTGCCAAGATCTATATGCCAGTCCTAGAAAATCACTGTTTTATATAGTTCGTAAAATGTAGCTATTTATTACGATAATAAATTTTATTGGTCTTCGTACGGTTTGAGCGATTCTAGTTTAACTTTAGTATCTACTTTGAAATTTCACACTATGTGTCCAATTTACCCGGGCGAAACTGATCAAATTTTAATTTTGAATAATAAATAAAAATCTTCAATTTGTTCGTAAATTTATTCGCAAATTAGAACCCATTAACGAACGTTTTTAAACCGTCATCCAAATGCTAGTTTACGAATAGATTGAAAGATTTTTGTTATTCGGAAATTTCTCTGGGATTAGTTGTCGTTAATAATGCGAAAGAAAGTGTGTTCCAACGAACAGAATATTTTCCCCTAATCTGCTGTGACTCGTACAATTTCAGTGTTAGGAAAGAGCGAGTGCGTTATATTAGATATAAGTTTACTGTAATCCTGCAGAATATAAAATATTATTTGTTTATCAAAATTGCAACATAGGCGATAGCGATCCAGACTAGGCGATGGCGTATACATTTTAATTTTGTATACATTTTTATTTCATTTGTTAGTTCAACTTTGAATTGAAATAAAATGTTATATGAGATAATTTTTGTATTCCAAAATTCATTACCAGACCTGCAATTTATCCAAAATAGATTTAACAAATACTACCAATTAGTAAATCCGAATCAAATTATTGTTTAAAAGGATTAAGCGAAATTAAAAATACACGATAATATGTTTAATTGAAAATTAATAAAACTTTAGTTCTTCAGTTCGAATTACAATAACCCTTGTTTAAGTGTCTTGATAATTCGCTCGGAAATGATCACTTAATTATTACTGGAATACTTGTGACTGCACAGTGCACATTCGTTTGGTAAACTTTTATGCTGCCTCCTCAGCAACCGCGTGATATTAATTCATTACACGGCTTCTAAACCGTTAACACGTATGCTATTTCGTTGAGTTCAATAAAGTTTATTAACTATTGTCGACTATCCGAAACTCCACGAGCTCATGTACGCGTGATCTGGCATGTGTGAGTAGGGCACCGTCGATGCTTTTCTGGCACCTCCGAACGGAGGATCGTGCCGACTATAGCCGGCAACCTTAACGAAAGGGTCACTAGAGACATCTAGAGTGAGAACCGAATAGCTTCGGAGTACTTCTAGGACGAATCAGATGAAAGGATTCACACTATTCACAGGTTCAAGAAGATAGAGCCAAAGTAAGGGCCGAATTGAAAAAAGTGTATTTTTGTATCTATCGTTACACGATACTGTGTAAAAGAAAGAATGTCAAGTAGTTCTGATGAGGAATCGAATACCGGAGATACTGCCTGGTTGTTATACAAGTATTGCGAAGAATGGCGTGACGTGATTCCCATACCACTGGATGATGGCCCTAATCCTATTGTTGCAATTAATTATTCCGAGGCATGTGAGTATTTTAGTTAACGTATGAATTTTACCTTCTATAAGTAGCACTAGACTTATTACTTTCGTACTATTGAAGGTTTTTGATCTTAATGATGTTGATTCATAACCTTACATCATCAAATACCGCATTGCTTATTAATTATATTATTGTTTAATGAATTGTACAGTTAAGACATGTTTTAAAGTAAGTTCATATCATCGTTGTATTTATATTATAAATAATTGTATGCCAAAAATAAGTGTGAAGTGATAAAGTGAGAGGTGTATTAATGTGGTAAATATAAAACATATAAATTCATATGAAAGACTTATAATATTGCTGTACTAATAATCGTTTAGAATAACAATCCTTTTATTGTTTTAACCATGTCTGTAATGTGTTTGGTCAATCATTGTTATAGTTAAATTCAAATGATTCTCTTATTTAAATTTAAAAGACAAATCATGTTTTTATCAACTGTATTGTTTGCTTTGTTATGAATTAGATCTAAATTAGTAGTTGATTAAAATTCATTGCTCTTATGAAACACCTGAATAATTATGACTTGCATATTTGTAGAATATTTCTATTTATATTCATCATTATTTTAAGTCAGGGACTGCTATGACTATTTCCGAGCAATTTTAAAGTCTGGTGAAAAGTCAGAGCGTGCATTATCTTTAACGGCAGCTTGTATCTGGTGTAATCCAGCAAATTATACAGTATGGCAATACAGAAGAGAGATACTTAAAGTTCTTGGAAAAGATCTACGAATCGAGTTACAGTATGTTAATAGAATGATAAATCGTTGTTCTAAAAATTTTCAAATCTGGTACCATAGAAAAGTTATTGTCGAATGGCTCCAAGATGCTAGTGATGAATTAGAATTTACAAGAAATTGTCTAAAACTGGATGCTAAGAATTATCATGTTTGGCAATATCGTCAGTGGTGTATACAAACATTTGAGTTAGTACATTTTATCCAACTTTCTTCTATTTGTGAAATTGAGATTTTTTAAAATATTGAGAAAGTAATGGGTTTAATATAATGCATATTTTACTTGTATAATATCTAGTCTATATAGTGAAGAACTAGACTATGTGGAACATTTGCTGGAAATTGATGTTCGCAATAATTCTGCCTGGAATCAACGGTATTTTGTATTAAGTAACACAACAAAATTTGAACAAAGTGTAATAGACAGAGAAGTTGATTTTGCCTTGGATAAAATAATGTTAGTGAAGAGAAATGAAAGTGCATGGAATTACTTAAGAGGGTATTGTCGGATTTATATTTTACTTCTATTATCAGTAGGGAATTATTTAATTTAGATGTATTAATTATATGCTGTTTTCAGTATTTTGATGCAAGATAGCAGTGGCCTGGGTAACAACAGAAAAGTAAGAAAGTTGTGCGAGGAATTATATTTTGATGGATGTCGTGTTAATCATTTATTGGCCTGTATTATAGACATTTGTCTAGAAAGACCAATATCGGATGTATCAGATCAATCAATATTCCATATTAATAATGCTCTCAAGGTATTTTGTCTTTTGAACTTGTCATACATTTATTTGTTATTACTGTTATGAATGAATATATTTGACTGTAGCTATGTAAAGACTTATCTGAAAAACACGACGTAATAAGAAGGAGATACTGGGATTTTGTCGGTCGTCAATTACAAGAAAAGTTGGAGCAGGAGTCTTAACAATTTCTTTACAAGTATGTAGATTACATTTTTATAAAGCCACACTCTTTGCTATTAGAATATTGTAATCGTTTTACTTGAAAAGACCTGTATTATAAGTTTCTATGTTGAAATAATAGTGAATGTATCAACATAAAATAAATTGTTAATGCGTTTTAACCTAACTCAGACCTAACCCATAGATGATAGTCATAATATGATCAGAGCATCTTAAAACATGTATGCCGCTAAAACAAATTTTAGTAATTTTTTTTCCATTATGGTACTTATACGTTGTCGCGTATTTTAGCGGGGAATTTAAGATAAGAACGCGGGTTGGTGCCCGTGGAGCGCAGAACCGCTCTGCTTGTCGGAGCGTGGGAATTTAATCAAACTAGACAAGAGAACTCTTTTGTTAGGTAAACTTCGTAGTTTATTTTACTGGTCCGAAGGCCGGTTAGAGACGCAATGACATAAGAAAAATCGTAGCGTTTCGAAGTCTCCTTCGAGGTTCTCGCCGAAGTCGTTGGCCAAATCCTCCTAGTCCTCCCATAGATCCTCGTAGTCCAATCAGGGTGAAGGACGCATCAGATCCAAGCGGTAGGCCGTCCTTCCGATGCACACACGCCCCCGCGAATCGGCGTCTAACTTTCCCTCCGTCTTCGGGTGGTGGTGGGAACTCGGTGGAGTCGCGCTTTTCCGTTACACAGCGGGGTGCCTACGTGGGAAGAGAAAATAGGCTCTGCTCCGAGGATCGAGAGAACAACCCTTGAAGGAAATTTATGACTTCCTTAGCGTCGCCAACATTTCTGGAGTCGATCGACGCTCCTAAGACTAACAAAAGGACAAGGCCTTTTCAAGAGGTTACGTGACTTACAAGAAACTCGCGATTCGTTTCGGGGTCTGCTAATTGGTGTCCTCTTCCTGTTTTCGAGCTCTACCCAAGATCTTTCCCACGCGTGCCACCAGCATCGCGCATCCTTAACAATATTCTCTCAATCACGCATAACCATCCGCTTTTGAATTTCGCTCCTAATTTACCTATCGATTATTATATTTCTGGGGCTACGTTCGCGTGGTCACGCAACAACCTACATAGGTCGGAAAGTAAAAATACCTGGGGTAGTCGAGACTGAAAATTGTATGGCGTTTTACATTGTGATTCCGTTGGCATTGGTAAAGGAGGATTTCCCTAGACTGACTTGGTTTATTATTCCTCCGGGGGTGGCGTGCCGATCTGGCGAAGGTATTCCACGCAGCAGGAGCTCTGTTTTCGCTTCTATGTGGAGTAATGTTGTGGAGTAGGATCGGGGTTTATTAAGTATAATCTTGAGGTATTTATTTTGTACTCTTTGTAATGTGGTAATATGTGTTTTTGTGGCAGTGCACCATACTGGTGCACCGTATGTTAGGATGGGGCGGACACAGGTTTTGTAGAGTCGGATTTTTAAGGTAATAGGAAGCGGACTGTTTCGCGCTAGGAGCGGGTGATTACTAAATGAAATGTTTAGATTTTAGATTTTATCGGAAGATATAAAATAACCTAGAATTTTATATAGCGACGCTATATTAAATAAAGCTCTAGTATTGAAAAATTATTGAAAGTCTTTAGTAATTCATTTGTTTGAATTAACAGTACTATGTATTAGTGACATCGTGATGTAAATCGAAGGAAAATTTGTGTTTTATTAACCCCTTGCGCTATTCTAAAATTCGGAAAAAGCCGGGCCTAACCCATACGCCCGAATGATCGGAACAAGCCCTAATATCGAAACTTGAAACACGATATGTCGATCAACGGAATATCGATATTTACGAGTTCGACTCGCGATATTCATGTTTTGACAAAATGTCGATTACAAGTCAGACACGTGTTATTCACATTTGATGTGAAATTGAATAACGAGCTTGACTCGTGATATTTAAGTTTGGCCTAAAATTTTTATCACGAGTCAGACTCGTGAAAATAGTGCAAGGGGTTAACACGTAATTGCTCAATAAAAAACAGGAAAAAGTACTTACTTGATATGCAAAATATTTTCTGTAGATCGTAGGTAGCGCCACATGTCACGTTTAGTTTCGGAGTGTTTTTGAGGCGAATCAGATGAAAGGTTTAACCCGTTTAACAGGTGCAAGAAAATAGAGCCAAAGTAAGCGCCGAATTGAAAAAAGTGTATTTTTGTATCTATCGTTACACGATACTGTGTAAAAGAAAGAATGTCGAGTAGTTATGCGAGTAGTTCTGGTGATGAATCGTATAGCGGAGACACCACCCCTGCCTGGGTGTTATACAAGTACCGCAAAAAATGGCGTGACGTGGCTCCAGTACCACAGGATGATGGCCCTAATAATATTGTTGCAATTAATTATTCCGAGGAATGTGAGTATTTGAGTTACTGTATGAATTTTATTTTCTATAAGTAGCACTAGACTTATTACTTTCGTACTATTGAAGGTTTTTGATCTTAATGATGTTGATTCATAACCTTACATCATCAAATACCGCATTGCTTATTAATTATATTATTGTTTAATGAATTGTACAGTTAAGACATGTTTTAAAGTAAGTTCATATCATCGTTGTATTTATATTATAAATAATTGTATGCCAAAAATAAGTGTAAAGTGATAAAGTGAGAGGTGTATTAATGTGGTAAATATAAAACATATAAATTCATATGAAAGACTTATAATATTGCTGTACTAATAATCGTTTAGAATAACAATCCTTTTATTGTTTTAACCATGTCTGTAATGTTTTTGGTCAATCATTGTTATAGTTAAATTCAAATGATTCTCTTATTTAAATTTAAAAGACAAATCATGTTTTTATCAACTGTATTGTTTGCTTTGTTATGAATTAGATCTAAATTAGTAGTTGATTAAAATTCATTGCTCTTATGAAACACCTGAATAATTATGACTTGCATATTTGTAGAATATTTCTATTTATATTCATCATTATTTTAAGTCAGGGACTGCTATGACTATTTCCGAGCAATTTTAAAGTCTGGTGAAAAGTCAGAGCGTGCATTATCTTTAACGGCAGCTTGTATCTGGTGTAATCCAGTAAATTATGCAGTATGGCAATACAGAAGAGAGATACTTAAAGTTCTTGGAAAAGATCTACGAATCGAGTTACTGTTTGTTAATAGAATGATAACACATAGTTCTAAAAATTTTCAAATCTGGCACCATAGAAAAGTTATTGTCGAATGGCTCCAAGATGCTAGTGGTGAATTAGAATTTACAAGAAATCGTCTAAAACTGGATGCTAAGAATTATCATGTTTGGCAATATCGTCAGTGGTGTATACAAACATTTGAGTTAGTACATTTTATCCAACTTTCTTCTATTTGTGAAATTGAGATTTTTTAAAATATTGAGAAAGTAATGGGTTTAATATAATGCATATTTTACTTGTATAATATCTAGTCTATATAGTGAAGAACTAGACTATGTGGAACATTTGCTGGAAATTGATGTTCGCAATAATTCTGCCTGGAATCAACGGTATTTTGTATTAAGTAACACAACAAAATTTGAACAAAGTGTAATAGACAGAGAAATTGATTTTGTCTTCCGTAAAATAATGTTAGTGAAGAGAAATGAAAGTGCATGGAATTACTTAAGAGGGTATTGTCGGATTTATATTTTACTTCTATTATCAGTAGGGAATTATTTAATTTAGATGCATTAATTATATGCTGTTTTCAGTATTTTGATGCAAGATAGCAGTGGCCTGGGTAACAACAAAAAAGTAAGAAAGTTGTGCGAGGAATTATATTTTGATGGATGTCGTGTTAATCCTTTATTGGCCTGTATTATAGACATTTGTCTAGAAAGACCAATATCGGATGTGTCAGATCAATCAATATTCCATATTAATAATGCTCTCAAGGTATTTTGTCTTTTGAACTTGTCATACATTTATTTGTTATTACTGTTATGAATGAATATATTTGACTGTAGCTATGTAAAGACTTATCTGAAAAACACGACGTAATAAGAAGGAGATACTGGTATTATGTCGGTCGTCTATTACAAAAAAAGTTGGAGTTGAAGTCTTAACCATTTCTTTACAAGTATGTAGATTACATTTTTATAAAGCCACACTCTTTGCTATTAAAATATTGTAATCGTTTTACTTGAAAAGACCTGTATTATAAGTTTCTATGTTGAAATAACAGTGAATGTATCAACATAAAATAAATTGTTTATAAAATTTGATAATGTGTTTTGATCAATATCTTAAAACAATACAGACGAAAATGGTTAAAAATATTCTTGTTTTTTTTATGTACTATAAATAATAGAATAAATTGTACATACATGTATTGGAACAATAAAATGAAAATAACTTTTACACTGTCTACTTTTTCCCCCTCCTATAATATAAGTAGTAACTTTTGCTATTGGTTATATAGTACAAAGCATTGAACATTGAGTATCTATTTATTTATAAAATAGTTACATACTTTCAAGTAATTATAATTATATAAATGGTTAGACATTTGCGTAACTAAAGTAGCCGCGAACGCTGCGTTCCAAACGATGATTTCGAACTAAAAGTATTCTCGTGCGTCTTTAAAACTCTAATATACTCGAATTAATATCGATTAAACTCGATTTAAATCGAAAGTAACAATTATCGATACATGATTTTGAATTTATGACTACTTCTAGAAGACAGTGTTAACACATTGAAGACGGTATCTCTCACATATATGTATTATGTACATATATAATTTTAACTTATACAAGCTTTCGTAAACTATTTAATAAATGGATATATGTAATATTTTCAACTTCATTTCGCAAAAGAAAAAAAGAAACAAGATTTTGTCTCGTCTATCGTTTAATAAAATGTCCGGAAACGATATTTTTATATTATTTTGTACAAAATAAAGTAATCATATAGAGCAGTTATTCGATTTTTTTAGTTATTCGAATTAAAACATCAGATAAACGGGATAATTATTAATCAAGTTTCATTTATTAAATCGTAATGTTTTCTTAAACGATAACGCTTGATATTATCAATATCACTATCTCACGTTATCAATGCTTTAAAAACGAAACACGTCGATTCGCGTCTCCCATCTTCAATGTGTTAAAATATCTGAAGCGAAAAGTAAATTTCATTGCGAACAAATGGCGGCAGTGACTGCATTGTTTAAACTAAACGGTTCATTTTTCCTTTTCTACTGATAAATGTTCGACAGATTATTTAAATTCACAGAAGTCACAGATTCTTTTCATTAAACTATACACATACCAAATTGATTATAGTAAATCGAAAATATGTGTATGTGTTGCAAAAAATGTCAGTGTAAGTTATAACGGAACGAAATTATTCGTAAATAATATAATTCGTTTATTTATAACCGATACATTAGACATGAATACTCTCAAACACTTGCCGATAAACGGAAACATTTATATAAAACCTTTAAAATCAAATTTGGCCGTGTTTAATTATTTTTTCGTATGTTTGTGACAACTGGATGTGGTAGTTATTGCTTCTAGACGCTTCGTGTAATATTGTAAGATTTTAATAGAATAATCGGTATTACACATGACACAAATCTTTTAATTACATGTGTAAACAACGGAGTGGCATTATTTCTTTAGTTAATCAATATATATTATAAGATACGTAACGCGCGAAAAAGGTTAATTGTACATATCGTGTCGTTCAAGTAATGCTCGGGAACGTGTGTCTAAATGTGTAAACAAGTAACGATCGATGTTTCATTTCGATGAACGAATCTCGCTAATCTAACAGAAATCATGTACGCAACGAAACGTATGTCTCCGATGTAAGATATTTTGCTGCGAGAGCATGTTCTTAAGTTTCTCTATCCTAACATTTAACAATCAACATTCAAACGATTAGTCCGGTTAGATGCTCGTACCGATGGAAAACAAGTCCTCTGTTCATCGAAGAGAAAAAAAAAAACAATAGGAGAAAACGAATACGAATTCGCGTGTAACACGGTCTTCCATGGATTTATGACGTTCGCTCTGTTCGATTTTGAATTGCAAAATTGCTTCCAAAGAGGATTGTTTCCGGCGGTACATTAAAGGTACGAGATATACGTAGTTTTACCACGGATATATACATATACACTTGATTTACACCGAAAATATAACGTCATATGAATATTTTTACCACCTCGTATTATTATTATTTTTTTTTCTTTCTTTGTTTAAATTCCATCATATTTAACATGTCGTATAGCAAATACTCTTTCTCTCAACTAGCTGTGATCAGCGCACGGTGCCCGAGATTTCGCGTGTCACGTACGATGAACGTTCACGGGATCGTGAGACAATTAATACGCGTAATATTATTTCAGAAATAACGATTGATGTCAACATAGGTGAACGGTGAAAGTCACTAAATTTCTTGGTACGCTCAAAGTGCGATTATTATTTATAACTTCACGATTTCTATTGTCGATATATAAAAGTTTCCCAATCTATTGATCAGATCTATTTCTACAGTTTATGTTAACTGTATACAATCTAAAATGAGAGATAGCATCAGTGGACGTTAAATAAAAGTTAATTTTCGGTTATACGTAGTATTTAAGATAACTTGTGTTACCAATGCGTGGGCTCTGTTCTTTTTCGAACCTCGATTAAGCACATTTCGCGCGAATTTCAGTTTGCATTTAGAAAAAGGAATCATTTCGTTGGGTGAAATTTAGTTTTAGCAACATTGATAAGATAGTCTTGGCTCGAACGCAAAATTTTGGTTTCCATACGATTTATGTCGAAGTCGAGGCATTTTAAAGGCAAATTTTTCTTTGTTATAACATTCGTAATTTTGATAATAGAAGTTTGATTATGTATACATTTAAATTTGTACATTTAAACACCATACATATTAGAGTTCTTTTGATATTTCAAAGAGATCTGAAAATAAAAATTTTTATTATAGTATTTTCATAGTAACAAGAAATCCCGCGTGACTTTGGACTTGTGCATCGTACGAAACCCGTAATCTTTCGTAAGGAAAATTTTGTCTAGTTTTTTTTTCTGTATGGTTTACCGTGCGCTGTGTAACATAGTTATACTATATTTTAATATCCGCAATGTTCTTATGAATACGTAATCTATATGATTGGACCATCTGTCAGCCAGCGCAAGCACAGTCTGACCATAATCTTCCATATTTCTATTTAATAATTCTTGTATTTTTTTTTTTAATCATCGATGCTGACCGTGAATGGCTCAATAACCTTTTCAGCATTATTCATCGCCCTAGTTAGCCTCTTTTTCTGGGACATCGAGCCCTTCGCGCGCGGATCAATTCCCTTTTGATCTCTCTATCCAGCAGTTACACTATGCCTAGTAGACACCACCGTAAATATCTTCGTTAAATATGCGAGTAGCTATTAAGAAGGAGATAGATTTCGTATAGAGAAGATAGATCGTTGAATTCTATTCACATACAGTGTTGTCTACGTTAAAATAGACAAGATATTACATGCATTTTGTACCCCTCGTGGATCTGTTTTGTCATTTGTTGCGGGGCCACTCGAGACATATTCTTCACAATCTGCTCGTTAAATCTTCGGGGCATTCAAGAACCAAGTGACAACACATCTTAATACACCATTCGAAACGAGTCTTCAAAAACGAAGTGTCTGTAAAAAGGCGGAATTGTCTCGACTGATTTTTATGGACTTTAATAGGAACTCTGTTTACGAAAATTAAACCAATATAGAAGCTTTATATTTCCGTTTCAACATTTGAGAATTTTTTTCATCCATGTGTTGCCTTAAAATCACATGAAACCGTGCTCGAACAATTTCGTGATAACTGTCTTTGTGCGATGTAAAATATTCACCATTTGTTTCGATAGTGTATCAATTTTCGTGGTGTTTTTAACGCGTGGGGATAAAGAAATCCTTGCTTTCTTTTTGTTGATTTTTCAAATACAAATAATAGATAGATAGGATCAGATGCAATATTTAAACTCTAAAAATGCTTTCAGAAATATACATAGGCCTATAATTTTTAAAGTTTATGTAAATTGATCCAATTATAATATTCTACATTTCGAATGGTGTTTCTATACTCTGCCCCAAAGAATTAAAGTGTTACCGTATGCTCGGCTACTCGCCGTAATGAAACGTCTGATAAGCTAACGTTGGAATTAAATCGTTTCAATTCGCGAGACTCTTTTTTTATAGAAAATCTTGAAAGAAGGCGAGTCCATAAATACGACGAAGCAATAAAACGCGCGATCGTGCGTTATTCTACTTAAACTAAAGCGAAGAATCGAGTTCTCTTTGTTTTCAATGTTTGATTCCAATGCCTGAAACGTTATCGCGAACGTTCGTAAACGATAAGAAGCACATTTGTGATTTCCAAGCGCTCGTTTCGAATCCGAGGAATGCGTTTCCGCTTTGTCGCGGAAGCATCGTGATTATCAAATAGTTAGCAAACGTTTTAAAATATCTGCTCGTATTTATATTGAGCAACGGGCGAAGAAATCTTCGGGACTATTGAACAGACACCTTGTGAAACATTCGGTAACTATTTTCAAACGTTCGCGCGGAATGTGTTCTCGATAATCGATCGGTATTCTCGAATCTTTACAAAGTGGCAAATCGTAATGCACGAGCGATACGTGTACGATTCATACGCGTTCGATAAAATACAAATATTATCTTGAATTTGTTCTTATTGTCTACATCGATAAACTTAAAAGAAACGGTCTCGATATTTTCCCTTGATTGCGCCTTAGAAGATACGGAATTCTGGTCCTTAGGAAAAATACCAGAAAAATACTTTGTTCGCTAAATTGCATGAGAAAGTAAAGTTTCTATAATTTGATAAGTCGTTCACGATATATGGTATCGAATTTGTACGATGTAAATCTTAAATTACACCTCGATGCCTCTGATGCGCGAGATCGCCAATTATAATTTTCAATCATTGTGCTCTTTTGTTTGTAAATACTTTCTGATTCTTTCCTTTATCTGTTGCTTTTACGTCGGAGCGCTCTAAAAAGACACACGTCAAATATGTATATTATAGTTTCTGCTAACGATCGACGATAAATGGAACGATCGTCGACCGGTAATGTTTTCTAATCATACATACAAGAGCTTAACAGACACAAGGCTCTAGACACACTATAAGTAAGGTAAGACAATTCGTTATTGTAACGCGACTGTGTTCGTCTCATTGG